CCAGCTGTCATGGGGATTTGTGGGTGGGAAAGGTAAGGAAAAACGATGCTGGCGATAAGAAAGGTAATAACTTTTAACACCGCCTGAGGCCGCCTTCAAAATGTGGCAGAAAATGCAGGTGGGGAGAATTGGGGTGGTCGCTACGCTTTTGGCCAAATCATTTGACAGTATATTCGGGCCAGATTAGATAGCTGTTTTGTAATACTCACAATCTGCCGCAATGATAAATGAAATATTTTTGCATAAATAATAGGGCCATATTTAGCCGGATGACATTATCTGCAAAATGTGTGTTATATATCTTAAATCAATGGAAATTGAAATACGTATAAATCAACGACAGCTGCGGTTCATTGATCCTTCCATCAATATACACATATTTTCTAGTTTAAATAAATAAACACACACACAGACACCAATGACGGCTTCTTAATCCTTGTGTGCATGGTAGCGAAATTTGCAAAAATCGATTTACGTATGTATGTATAATTTTCAGGCAGTCTGGCTAATTAAATTTTCATAGCATACTTTAGCGCCCATTTTTGCTCTTGATTTATAACAATTTTCACTGATGAAAACGAACGAAAATGCGATATCACAGTGTTATTTGTATTTTTTTGTATTTTGTACACACTATTTGTATGCCCTGAAGATTGGAATTTAATAGCTTAATGCTAATTTACTAGTTTATATACTACATATGTTGTATGTCGGCTAAATTTGAGATAACGAGCAATATTTCTTTTAGACAACTAATAAATAAAATTGTATCTGCTGTATGTATTGACATCAAATAAAACATTGTTAAAGTGCAATTAAACAGTCAGCTGAAATAATTTAATTTATTGATTTATATGCATTTTTGCAGAAATTTGATATCCAAAATGTCGAATTCTAAGTTTCCATCTCAGAAACTGAGAAATCTCAGACGCTCTCCTTCCAGTCTCTTAATTTTCCAGTCAAGTCCAGTTAGCTTAGTGCCAAGCAGTCTAAAAACAACAATAAGAAATAGAAGAGGACGAGGAACAACAACAACATAAGCGTGAGCACTTTGCACACAACAAAAGTCTCCAAAACAATAACAACAACTAAATCAACACCAAAAACAGCAAGAACACCAAGAAGCGGAGAGAGTGAGAGCGGGAGCAAGAGCGAGAGAGACAGAGACTGAGATGAAAGTTGAGCAGCAAGAGCATAAGAATGGGACAGAAACTTAAAGAAAGAAAGGGAGAAGAGAGCGAGTGAGAGTGGGGAGCGGGGGAGCATGAACTGCAGCTGAGCACATAAAACAAAAACAATGCAGCCAGAGAAATAAAAAAAAAACAAAGTTAATCTCAAACAAAGGCGCCGCCTGCGAAAAAGGGGGAAAAAGGCGGCGAGGGGTGGGGAGTGGGGGGAGGGGGCAAAGCCTCAAAGCGCACAGCGAAATGCTCGTAAAGCTTTCAATTAAAATTAATAAAAATCTACGCGAATTAAATAAACACCAGCTGGATTCAGGAGCAGTTGGTCAGGACAGGTGCCACAAAAAGGTGAGACCTACAAACACAATTAAGACGATTGGCATTAAAAAAGGCCCGTTGAATTAATGGGTGGGTGGTGGGATTTAACGGTAAAAGCATTTAATTGTGCTCTCATGTCAATCGATTGGGTTGCAATTTATGTGCTTAATGGGCTTTAACGCAAATATGGGCCAATTTACTTTAGTTGGCACGACAAATCGGGAAAATGTGCTGTTAAAAACATTTTGAAATTTAATAAAATCTTAGTAACCGATATGATTTTAATAATAGTTCAAGGCCTTGTTGCAATTGTTTTCAATTTTTTAGATTTTACAATTTTAATAAAACTTATGCCAAATAAAATCAAAATGACTATCAGGCGTGCAGTTGAACACATTGGCGAATTGCAATTCAATTGTTGAAAGCGCGACATTATTATTTGCACAACGTACTGAATGGATTTATCAATTAAGAATAATTTAGTTTATTGCATCAATTTGAACATCTCTAGTGACAGCAATTAAAGCAGTAAACCGGTTAGTTTTCATGTAAACTTTGCTGCCAGCGAAATTCAATCAAATGTGCGTTTGCATAAATGGGGTTACACAAGTCAAATGCAACTTTGAAAGCCCAAAGGATCGGGATGGCAAAAAACATAAAAAACACAAAAAATACAAACAATACAGCAGATACATATAGTAGCAGGGCAGAGCAATATGTAACACGCATCCGGTTACGTGATACGTTTAACGTGACATTCGCATCCTCCGTGGATGTCTGTTGGTGACACATTAACCTGGAACGGAGGAATGGAGGAATCGGCGGAGGAGCACCGCTCACCGGTCACCGGTCACTGGGCACTGGGCACCCACTCTCCGCCGGATTATATAAATTGAATTGTTTGGTACAACATGACGGCCCTGGCCATTGAGCAGGAAGCTGGAGCAGAGAACTATACGGTGTGTGCGTGTGTCTGGCGCATAGAAAATGGCCAAGACCATTGCGGGCAACTCCGTGTCGTGGCGCCCCGTTGATCCAAAGCTCTCGTAAGCCGGCCAATCGGCAGACATAAAAAAATACAAGAACAACACGACAAGCACACGACAAGCAAAGTGATTTCACTCGAGTTTCTTTTACATTTACTTTTTTTTTTGTCAGTTCCTTATGGAGAAAAAGAAAAAAAAAAAAACAGTTTCTTATGGATTTATGAGGCCCAACCGTCGAAGGTAAATAAGTGGGCTAGGCCCCATCCTGTACTAATCAGACACTTATGTTGGATTTGGGATGTCCTGTGGGCGGCAAGCAGCGGTGAAGGACGAGCGCCCACACGTCGGATACGTAATTTGAGCAGCAAATGGGGAAAAATGTAGCAGAAGGACGGACATAAAAAATAGCAAATTATTTTGCTTATTTCAATGTTTACGCTTCGCATTCAAATTTTGTTTTATGGACACCCAATGGCCAATACGAAAGGAACATATAAAGTTTCATTCGCATACACACTGCCACTTACACTGCAAAGAAAGCTTTGTCGCAGCAATGTTATTTTAAAAAAGTAACTATCAAAAGCATATGATGTTCATGCTACTTATAGGCTTGTCTGCTTATCTCAATGTTTGTTTGCGCTCGTTTTATTTGCAACTTATTTTTGCACAGTGCACTGAGTGGAACTTCAGCCAGGAGGGCCATTAAGCATGTTTGTCCCGTTTATGATTCATGAATGCTCTTTGTTGCTGCCATCGGTCCAATGAACTGTCATCAAATAGCTGGCGCAAGTTGAGCATCAATTTGGACTTGTTGCCTTGGATGTTTGGACGTTTGGGCACTCGATGGGTTTACTTAGCATCTCTTCAAGAGTATCGAGTAAATGGATTTGCTTAAACTCATAGAAATGTCCTTGATTGAAGGTGTATTGGAGTTCACCACTGATTGGAGTTCAATTAGATATCCAAACAATGTGATTTCACATTCAAGTCTTGAGCTCATGTATTTGTGAGTTTTGGGTGTTTAGCTTGGCTAAAAATCATCGCACAGATTAATTATTGACTGTCTTGGTAATAATGATATAAACTAAGGATCCTTATCACTTTCTTGCTGATTTCAATAAATTAAACATTTGACCAAGTTTGCACTTGCATTTAAAGAAAATTTAATATTTTCGAATTTCCACGTTATTCATCTATGATATTGCCTGTGTGTGAAGTGTACCTGTCTTTTATTTTTACCGCTTCCATGTCAAGCGGATAAATGGTATCCCACTGCATTGATTGTTGTGGCTGGGGATCTGCAAAATCAGTTGCCCGATGACGTTGGCGCACCTGCACGGTCCACATTCCGTCCCCCGGAACTCCTTTAACCCTTATAGCATCCACTGACGTCGTGGGCAGTGGAGCATCGAAGCGAAACAGTCAGCCATTCAGCCAGTCGGCCATTTAGCCAGTCAGCCAGCCAGTCAGCCAGTCAGTCAGCCAGGCTGTCAGCGCACAAATGGCGCCACAAATGTTTTGCCCCTTTTTCGCAATGGAAGGATACATTTGTAACTTCTATTGATTTTTAATGCACGCCTTCTGTCCTGCCAGCCAAGGCGTCGTCGAAGTCGTCTCAGTAGTCGTAGTCGTAGTCGTACTCGGTGCTCGGAACAAGCCACCAAGCCATGAACTTTACGAGGCGAGGAAGCCACCTACTCGGTCCCAGGATCCGTCTGGCATGCCATCGTCCTTAGTCCTTGCTCCTTCGTCCTGCTACATCTCAATTTTACCCTACTCTGCGTTTCTTGCGATTGTGCGGGTGTGTTGGTGTGCGGGTGTGTTGGTGTGCGGGTGGGTGAGAATCTTAATGCTTGTAGCTGCTGGGAAACAAACAAACATGTCACAGTCGAGAGGGCTGGCCGCAAATCCGCCATCGTCTTCGGCGATGCCATTGCCATTTCTCCACTTGATAACTTAATGCCCCACGCATGCTGCCCCACATCCACATCCACATCCGCATCCACAGCACACACACATACGCCATTGCACACACGTACACACGGACTGACACTCACGCAGACAGGCAGCCAGACGGCCGAACGGACAGCCATCCATCCGGACGGACATACGGACGGACAGACGAACGGACAGCTCTATAAACAAGCAGGCAAACTGAACTTGCCTTCCCGCCTATGCACTTGTGTACTTGAGATGACTGCGTGAGAGTTCCGATTCCGATGGCAAGCCAGGGATCGCGGAAGGAAGTTCTTGTCCTTAACTTCCGCTACAAATAGTCCCGCGACAATAGTGATCTAAATGCAGACTTTTAGACCTCGCTGTTGCCGTAATTAACTTGATGTTGCCACATACAAATATGATTTTAATTTTAAGTAATTAAGAGCAGCGTGGTGAAATGCATAAGCTAGTTTAGATAGTTAGCTGCATTACTTTCGACCACTTCTGGCCATTTTATAATAAGAAACCTTTTAGAACAAGGCGAAATTTGATGGAATGTATCTTAGGAAGTACTTACGGTTGGAGAAGGCGCTCAGTGGGCGCGTGAGAAGTGTGGCCATCAGGAGGAGCAGCATCACTGGCATGAATGTCGGCGAACGTCCTTGGTGCACTCCAGTTTGCTTTTGTTTCTGCTGCTGCTCTTGGTCCTGACGATGATAAGCCAGTTGGTGGTGGAGTCGCCGGGATCGGGTTGGCCAAATGCCAACCTGACTGCTCAGCTGCAGCGGCATTTTTAGCATTTTAAGCAGATTGCACGGCCGGCAGATCGGTTGGGGATTATTGTTCGCGTTCTCGGTTATAGTTTATCGCTAATAACTAATGGTCAATCACTTCGAAGCTCATTCGCAATGGGTGTTGCTGCTGAAAATGTTGATATGGCTAAATCATTGATTGGGGAAGGCCAATGATGATGTGTTTACATGAAAGCACACTCCAAACGAAGCTCTAGACCATTTGATGCCCTTTAAATGTAACCTTTCTGGGTATTCCCATTACTAAATTGCGACTAATTGCAAGCCTATATTCATTGGTATGCTTTGGCATCTACGGGCAGAACTTAGTATAAGTAAACTTTATTAAATAATATCAAACTGGAAAGCCTGAAGTTCCCACCCTATTCAACTGCTTTCCATCATAGCCCAAGTTTATTTACAAGCAGCGGGTATAATAAAACAAATCCGTGTACAATTTAAATCAGACAATTGACAGATTTGAGCGTGGACAACAACGACCAAATTGTAAGCACATAATAAATGTTTACACGTTCATTGTATTGTACTCTTATTTACATGACAAATTTATCTGGCGTCATCGACGCGATGGTTTTGTACAAAAACTTGGTTGGAATGGGTGGCGTTTGATGGGTAAATTATGTGTGCGGTAATAATGGTGAGGTTCTAATGGCCGCTGGGCGAATTTCACGGGCCTGTGTGCATTAAAATATTTTTAAAATTTACGTGGCGGCGTACTTTGCAGCACCGCCTTATTTTACGACTTGCCACATCCTTCAACTTATTCCGAAAAAGTTTTCAACGTGCCAGCATCACAACGGCGACGTGTAACTCACTTTCAACCACCCACTTTTCCCGCTTTCCCCAGCTTTCTCCGCCTCCACCACGCCCCCTTGACAGCCTTGACAATCTTGGTACATAAAGCCAGATTCGTTGGGCATAAATGGCATTAATCAGTTTGCGGTTTACTTTCGCAAGTCATCCAACTTCTTGGTGGGAAAGTAAAAGTGCCAAAGTGTAACTTTATCGTTTAGGGAAGTTGCATATCGAAATCTACAAGTTTCTCTCCAGGAATTCGTTTCAAGTACTATATATTCCTAACTTTTATGCAAATTTGAAATCATGAATGTGTGAAAACGGCGCTTAAAACGGATAAAGCCCCAAATAAACCCAGAAAGGTTTCAAAAGGCAATGAAATCTGTACCCAATGCACCTTGCACTTTGGGTCATAAGTAATAAACTGGTGCACAAAAAACCGCCACGAATGATACGCTTTTTGGAAATTCAATTTCCTGGGGATTACCCGAAAACAAATTCAATTTCAAGAGATTGCTATTTGCTTAAGATAAAATTTCACAAAGAACTTCTAACGCCTTGTGTGCTGTGCACCCTGGCACCTCAAATTTCCCATTAAACGTGTGTCGATAAAAAACGAGCTGGGAAAATACGACGTGTTCTGCTGAAGGGAGTCTTCAAAGAAGTAAAAGGATATCAGCACCTGAATTGCAGGGCAAATCATGTTATGCGTTTCTACCGAAAGAGATAATAATATGAATTACACAGGCTGAAATGTGTGTGGCTTGCTGCATGAAGCGAACATGTGTAAATTTAACACTTTAATGATTTATGCGAGAGCAAATTAAGTATTTTCTTCGAAATTAAATTGTTTCCTGCATATTTCAGGCTGCAAGGCAAGCTGATTGAAGTTGCCAAGCCCAATTTATTTTGCTTGATTTAAATGAAACTGCATACCACATACAAATTTATGTCTTGCAAAGGCAAAAGTAATTATTTATGGCTAGAAAATAGTTTCACGAAAGTGTTGAACAAATCTGTGCAATTTCCGCATTTAATGTGTGCGAAATAGCCTTTATTGAGGTTGATCTGAAATATATTCGGTGACAAGCTATATGAATATACGAGTATATGTATGTATATATCAGCATCGCATCGAATTTGTATTGCGGCTGAGGAATCCGCTAAATTAGCTTCTGTGATTGAACTTTGGCCAATGAATTACCCATGGAGCTGAGTAACCCAAGCCCAAACCCAAACCCAAGCCCAAACTCAGAATATAAAACCTAAACCTAAACCGTGCCAAATTTAATCGCCTTGCGGGGGATCTGCGTATTTGCTGTCAACCCGGGCATGAGTTAAGCAATCCTCGAGGCATTAAGTCTGCTCTGCGGTTGGCTAGACCAAATTGAAAACGAATTAAAATGAAATTTCAAACGCTTTGTGCCAAAAGTTTTAGCCAGCTTCTTCTGTGCACCGCGCCACACGCCGAAATACTTCGGCAAAGTACTTAAATGCCTTCTATTCTATTCTATTATTTTTTTTTTAAGCAAAACTTCGAAAGTTCTATACGAGTACAGCACTTTTTTCATTGCGTTCTATATAAGTAAAGAATGCAATCTCCATTTTGATTGGTTTATCAAATGAAAGAGCTCAACCATTCTGGCCGATTTATAAACTTTAAAGCTTAGAGCGATCATACTTTTGATCAGATTACTTGTTGCTAGACATTGTTTTAGTGCAAATTTCCCTCGGTTTTTTAACCACCTAATGATAACGCATACTGCCCTTTGGAAAGTATTTTACAGCTGGAGTTACCGACATTTCACGAGCTTCCCCACTTTGCATTGTTAAGTGGAGGAGTGCCAAAGTGCCAAATTGACAGCAGAATGTGCTCAAAACATAAATGTTTAACGCAGGTGCTTTGCCCGTCCGGTTGCTTGAAATATGCTTGTGAACAGGAATACAAAATGGAAAACATTCAATTTTTTTCGGCTGGCGGCTGGGAGCGGTGCTAACATGGCTGATAATGGTGAATTTCATATTGATATCACGAACTGCACTAAATCATCAATTAAATGATTTTATGATGCCATTTTGGGGATTTTTACCCTCGGGCAATTTCGCTTGTGGTTTTTGCTCCATATCTCATGTCCTGGCCCCCTTTTTTCTTCTCTCGGATTTGTTTTTTGTGATTTGGTTGAATTTGGGCTACAGTAGGAGTTCCGTGTGTCAAACATGTGTTATAACGACTACTGGGAATTTCCACGCTGATGCAACTGAAACTAACCAATCTGACAATAGAACTTTTTTATAACATATAAATGTTAATTTAGATATGATTTAATTTTATAATTTTTTAATAAATCCTAATTGGTATCCCTTTTAAAAATAATGCGCAAATTTGTAAGTCTTTTTTTGAATGCAAGTTTCACTTAGGCAGTTTGGCCTGTGCTAATTTTTTCTGGAAAACACCTGCTACCATTTTGCCGCGGCCAAGATGCTAACGGTAATGGAGAGACTAACGGTAACGGGAAGGACAACAACACCAAACCAACTTGACGAAGCGACGGAAATGCAACACTTTTCCTTTAGTCTTCCGTTTTGCAAATTCCCGTTTGTTTTACTAGCTCTTGCTCCTGTTATTTCTTGGCCACTGTTTGAACAACGACAAAAAAAAAACACCTTAAAAAAAGGGGAAAATAACGTAAAGCGCACGAGAGCGCTTGAATAAAAAAAAGGGAACACAGGGAATTACCAACATCAACACAAACACAAGCAAAGCGCCCGCCGGATTTATAATGGCAAAGTAAACAAGCTTACGCGAGTCGCGCGCGACTTTTGTCCCGTTAGCTTGGCTTTTTGTTTTTGCGCGCGCTTTTTTTGGCGCGTTTCTACGCTTTCGGCAGGGAAATCGCGTGACGGAGAGCAGGAGCAAGTGAAGAGCGCGTCCTATGCCAGCCGAACGCAGAATGCAGCAGACAGCGCAGCTATCAGCGGCTTTTATACGCGGCCTACCGACCCGAGCACTCGTTGCCCTTCGGCTCGGACTTCGGCTCCTGCGAGAGGGAAACGGAAGTTAGTGGGTGAGCGATTGAAAGCGGGGGACGGGGGGCTTTGGCTCGTTTAGCATATGTCTGCCGCCATCGACATGGGCATCACTGGCACACGTGTGCGTGTGCACGCACACCAGAGTTCACAACAATAGTTAATATCAGAATGTTAATATCAAATGCTAGATGGTGCGCAAAATAATGACCTTTTTAAAGTGAAATCGTTTTGAAAATTATTATGATTTCTCTGATGATCACATAAAAGTGTTAGCAAGGCATTTTTCGCCATCGCAATTAATATTTTTATTAATTTTAAGGTCCTAAAAAACTGGTATGCTGAAGAACTCGCGACTTAGTTGTGTTACTATCGAAGGAATTTTAAGCCTTACTAGTCGCTTAACCTAAGCTGTGCGCGGGTGTTTGCATATTTACTTTATGAATGTGTTTACCAGCAAACTTTGGCGAAGAAAAAGAGACAGCAGGCGGCGAGCGAGCGAGAGGTACGTGCGAAAGTGCCAACACTCGCATTAATGACACCAGCAACAACAACAGCAGCAACAGCACCAACAAAAGGCAACAATTTGAATTGTAAGCCAGTGTATAGCCAACAACCAACAGCCAACAGCTCAATTAACTATCCGTCCGGATGGCGGATGGCAAAGTGTGTCCGTGTTGACTTTCTCATACGCATAATTCCCATTATTTTGGCAATTACAAGGATGTAATGGCACTTGCATATGCTTGATATTATTTAACCCGTAAGTGTGTGCCATTGCGTTTGCGTCGCCGGGCCAAGGTAAATATGAAAAATGCATTGCAACGCCGGCATTTTCATTGTCCGAAGCGCAATTATTAATGCAGCACATGCGCAGGTTTTATTGACAGTGTAGATCTTATAAATTTATGTCTCTTAAAGAGCTGCCGTAACCTAGTTACGCCATAAATCTAGTAATCACATTTTGCAATCCTTGCGGAATTTGATACAAATCCAAAATATATTAATTGCGTAAATACTGTAGTTCGTGATTCAAAAGTCTCACTGTACTTCTGTGTTTTTTTTTGCTTTTTTTCGGCTGTGCATCGCATCTGTTTGTTTGCCAGTTCTCCGTGCAGCATAAAATGAGCAGCAAGTAATTTACGTGTAAACAGGTTAAGGGATAAAGTTCATCACATGTAAATGGATATGCCTGATTAATGGCAAATATAAACGAAATACAGAAGCTTCGGCATACGAGTGTGTGTTTTCTTCTGTCGCTTTTTGCCAGCCCTTTATTGCATTCGATATTCTGGCATTCCCGTGAATGCATGACAATGAGTGGGATGCTTGATTATTTACGATTAAATATAATAACTGAGTAGATACTTGCTGGTGTCAACAGCGCATTAAGTAGTTCTAGATCCATTAAAGTCATCAGCGAGTGAAAAGTATTTTCCTCCCGATATCGTATTTTAAATCATACATTATCAATACACTCAGAACCGCATACACTTGGTTATAATTTGCAGCATGTTTTCCATCTATCTTGTAATTGCTGCAACTTTTAGCCAAAAACCTCTGGAACAGTAGGAACTCGATTCGAAGTCCCCTTCAAAGGCAAACCACTCAAACTTGAACTTCCAGACGGGGCTGCACATGCGGGCCAAATGCGATGCCAAGTTCTGGCCAAGTTAGTAGTTTCATAAGCGAGACCTCAAGCCGAACAGCTCAAACTTGAACTGCATCTTGCCATGGACTGCTTCCTGGCGATGGCGATGGTAATGGTGATGGGTGATGGGTGACGGTGAGGTGCTCACATGGCGAACTGGTGTGAGCACAAGGTAATTGAGATGGATCCGGACTGGTTGGCATCACATCCCGCGGCTTCACGCAACAAACACGCCGCACTTGCGGCACTTTCCCGGATCCGGCTGCATTCCGTCCGGAGTATGCTGTCTCACCTGGCGGGGAATGGGGGATACGGGCCAAATTGGGCGAATGACAGGCCCCGACATTCCTTCGATACCACAAATTGGGTTGGTCCATGTGAGTGCACTATAAACTAAATAATAAATAATTTTAAAATAATATTAATTATTATAATACAATTTTTAAAATACACCTATCTTGCATATAAATATGGTTTAATTCCTTTACGTGTCCTACACGTATATTGCTTTCGAAAGAATTCCGATTTATTAGCAAGCCAAAGCGAGCATCATAAATATTTATGAATATTATATGCCACTACTATCATGTACAAATAAAGTTTTCAACAGGAAGCGTACAAAATATCATCAAAGTGCCAAAACTACACAACAATTTGTGTTATGCGATATATAGAGTTTTTGCAAGTGTGCACAGCTTGTGCAGTTTGCGTATATTTTGCATGGCTGGGATAACTTTTGGGTTCATTGACAATGGCCACCACCCATCAGGAGCCCCCGCATACCTAGCAGCCTCAAGGATTTTCGGGTAGCGTGTCTCGCATTTCACTTTCACAACTTGCCAACTGGCAAAGCAAGCAGATGGAGATGAAGAATTCATGAATACATCCCAAGAAATGCCAGATACTTCCATATATACATACGTATGTACGTTTGTACATGCATGTATATAACCTGAGACTGGGAGGACATCGAGGAGTCGGCGAACAATTTGTATTCAAACGATTTGAGAGCACTCCGGAAAGTAACATCATTAAAAAATTCTCCATCGCCTTGAGTAGCTTGACTCGGCTTCATTCTCAGGACCTTATCTCCGTACCTTCTTTTTTTCGTATTTTTGAGGAACCGGGAAACCCCCAGAGTCCTCAATCATCATATGTCCCGAATGGCGCCCACTTTCACTCCCATTTCCCGCGAGAGTCGTAGTTATGGGAATTTCATTCAAATGCAATATCTCGTAAGCAGCCCAATTGTTGTAGAATCTATGGTAGGTGACATTCCAGCGAAGATATAGCGTTTATGCCATCAAATTTTATGATTTCTGAAACATGCAGCAGGGAAATTTAAAGTTCAAGGTCGACTTTCTGAAGACAGATCACAGTAGTTTAATATACGCTCTTTAAACCAATCATTTTTGATCACTTGACTAAAGTTGTAACAAATAGAAAAGAAATAGAAACCGCGATCACAATAAGAAATAGTGTAGCATACATTTGTGCGCATGCAACATTCGAATTGAAAAATGCCTATAAGGACTTACCTAATTTTAAACGGAGTGGATATGGCAACTAAAACACGCATAAACTGGCCTGCTGCAGAAAATGAAACAGAAACCAATCCATTCCGACCCCAATCCAATCCAAACCAATCCAATTGAACGCTCGTTACCTTTCCGCTGCCATTCCGATTCTTGCTGCAGGCTGTCAATCGAAGTTTACACGGGATATCGATACCGGCTCCGGCTTCCCGGGAATCAATTTGTAAGTACTAGTAGTAGTGTGGCACGGGCATAGGTGTGGGCCATGGGGCATGGGGCACAGAGCCTGCCATCCAGAATCCAATAGAAAGTTTCACCTACACCGCAGCAGCAACAGCAGCAGCAACAGCAGCAGCAGATGTAGCAGCAAAAGAGCCGTTGACTGGCAGTTCGGTTAGCTCGGTTCGTGGGGCCTCGGAGGTTCACAGGATTCACGGAATTCACTGGATTCATTGGATTCACTCGAAGGCGAGAGGGTCAGGTTGCCATCGCTGCCAGGCAAATAGCTAAAACATTTTTGCCCAGGTAACTTTTTAATTAAAGCTGCCAACGTTCGAAGTGTAGAGGTGGAGGCGGACAACAAGCTTCTGTCTCCATTGCCTGGTGCTCATCATCGTTATTATCATCATCGTGGTCGTCGTCTCATCGGGCAGCAGTTAACAAACGCTTCCTCGATGGCCACAATAAAATGCAGTTGCAGCTGCAACAACCACAAAACGCCCCCTTGCGGTTTTCATCACAATTATTGCAGTGGAATTCGTTATGTACTACATACAAACATGCATATACAAAAATCGTATTATCCTTCTGATGCTGTAAGCTCAATTTCCATTGCATCCTTGCAATTGCGTTTGATTATATCAAATATGTTGAAAATTACAGATGATATTATACCATGCGCTCTGACTTTCGGTAGCAAATTTCAAGATAGTTGAATCCATTTTAACCCCTTTAGCAAAGTGCACTGTACTCATCCAGCTTGCAGTTGTTATTGGCATTTTTGCATTTTATTCGAAAGCCCCGATTCTGGCCGACTGTGTTGAAACCAATTTCAATTTATACAAATAAAATCAATTTCATTTATCGCTGCTTGCATCTGTCGTTTATTTTTTATGGCCTCTGCAGTGGCAGTAAGCAATTTTTAATTGAAAGCGAGAAAAAAATACAGCAGGAAACGCACGGCACGTGTTCCAATAAATATTCCCACAACTATAGCTGATCTCTCTCACTCTTTCACTCTTACCCACGCCGCCAGCACCCAATGCGATCTCGAAACTCTCTCGCCATCTCTTTCTATCCGGTTCTAGCAAAATGCTGAATTATGAAAAGTCACAGGTTAACGTTGTCCTGCTGCCAGCAAAATAATCAAAGTGCACAAACAACTGGAGCTCATAAATAGTTAAGAGACTGAGAGTACGGAAAAATATAAAAATGTTATTCCTAGTCCCACATCCGAAGGCCTGGAGGCGTCTATGTCCAAAGTCCACTAGACTAGTTATCCTCCCTCTCCTTCGCTCCCCTGCACCTGTATGCGTCTATGAGCGTTGTGCGGCTTCTTTCTGTGTTCCGCATCCAAGATTTTTGCTGCCGTATTTCGCTATTTCCCCGCCAAAAATATAATAATTTTCATTAAGAAATGTGGCGGTCTTATGCACGTATGTACAAGTATGTAGATATGCAAGGTGTAATAACTAAATGTTTTCCAATAACAAAATATTTATACCTCTGTCAGAAATGGTTAGACCTAAATTTAAGTTTTTAATTATAATTTTTTTGGTTATGGGAAGATTTTTTAGCCAATGGTGTTGTATCGTAATAAGCCATATGTGCATATTCTAGATATAGCTATTTTCCTGCAGCAAAGCTGGCAGCACTGTTCAATGCTCTGTTTCCTTGGCTTTTGTTGTTGTTGATTTGTTGTTGCCTATTTTGTTGCTTGTGCTGCTTCCATTTTTATTGCCCGGTGGCCACATGCGAGTGGAGCCCAAGCTCCTTGTTTACACAGTCCAAACTAATTGGATTGGCAGTTGGCAACGCAAGAAGGAGCCGGCGATACATTGCAATGCGTTTGCCTTGTCTCATCCTTGCTTTTAAGGCACAACGACAACGATAAGCGAGCGGAAATCTGGTCACACTTAGGAACTCATCATTCAGAGGCCTGGTATCACTTCTGCAATCCAAGTCTACGGTCGAAAATTATGACTGATTCATGCCATTTTCCTGCTGATTTCCTTAAACGTTTCACACATTTCACAAAATTTCACCAATTTTCGTATTTCTTTTAAGGGGGTACATCATTATTATTTTCCCTTTCTTGGCTTAAATGCTGAATTTTTCCTGTGGACTTTCAGCATAGGAAATAACTGGATACTTTTAAACTTTGATCATTATAAAATAACGTAGATTCATTGTAAATACATATGTAAATATGAACGATTCAAAAGTGCCTACAGGGGAGCAAGCCGCACCTGAAACAAGTGCGAATTGGTAGGCGCAGGGCCAGCATGCGGTCACGATTCATCCTATAGATGTGATCATGTATCAACTGGTCAATGTTCTGGCGAATCTCGTTGCGATCCTCGAAGACCTCGCGCAGCTGATTCAAGACGCACGCACCATCGACTCCTGGCAGTGCCTCCTCATCGATCAGACTCATTTGGGCAGTGCCCATGTCGACCATGGTCTCGGCAATCAGATCAATGTCGCTATCAACTTTGAACCACGAGAGGTACTTCTCCTCCTGACTTCCTGACTGGACTTCACCTTCCTCCTCCGATTTCGATTCCTCTTTGGTTGGATGTGCTTCATCCATTTCTTGAGTCTCACCTTTTTCGACCTTCACAACGCATCCTTTAGCACTGCCCTCTTGGTAGCTTTGCAAACTGTAACCACCACTTGGAGGCGTCGGGTGCTCCGTTTCCATTACCAAAAAGCCCTTGGTAATGGGAACGTTGGGCTTCTTAGGCTCGACAGCATTGAGCGATCCCTCTGACTGAGCCGAAGACTGAGCAGCTCCGTACTCCATTTGGATGTTCTTCATCAAGTCGAAGGCCAACACGACGCGGGAGATCTTTCCCACGAACAGCGGTGGTGTGATGGCACAGTTGTGCTGCGGTTGTGGAGGACTGAAACGACCCATGTAGCCCATGAACCACAGCTCGGAAAGACTTCCCGGCTTGAAGACGCAGCCGGACTCGAATCCCTTGGGCAAGAAACGCCTGGGCAGAAAGATTGGGCGATTGACGCCCTCACAGATGGGGAAGACATCGCTGGGCAGCTCGAACTTGGGGCACTCCTCATCGCCCATGGTGGCGAGTGCCACCGAGGGAACATGCGGATTGTTGACGGTGGACAGAATGGCCACCGTTAGTTTGCGCTGGTGCGGCATCATCATCAGCACATTGGACAGATCCGGGGTGTATATGTTGTACTGCACCGGGACATGGCGATAGGGATAGGGCGACGGTGGAGTCGGTGGAGCCGGCAAGTTGTAGGCCATCGACAAGGACAAGTCATTGCGAAGCATTAGTTCCTGTGCCTGTTCCTCTTTTACAAGCTGATTGGAGCGACGCATCCCGTACACCAATGTGTCCTGGGTGGCCGGGAACTCGCCCATCTTGTCCAGGAAACTCTCGATCTCCGACGGCAGCTGGACGTACAGCCTGCGCAGACCGACGAACAGCGGTGGCGATTGACCCTTGTGACCCGAGGCCGTCAGGTCGATGGGATAGGAACGCCGTGGCAGAACACCCGGGCCAAAAACGCCTCCGGCTTCAAAGCCCATGGGCAACATCACCGGGGGCATGAAGACGATCTTGTTCAGCGGCGCCTCACCCGGGAACATGGAAGCCGGCACCTCGAAGCAGGGCGTCTGGAAGCCCTCGAAGAACTCGGCTGCCTGCTTGTCGTGCTTATGGACATTGGAGTAGAGCCGGGCCACCACGATTCTGTTATGGCTGTGGTAGAACGACTTCGGCATGACCAGGTTGAACAGGTAGGGCAAGTACTTGGTCTTCTTCAGTTCCACCACCTGGCCTTCCTCCCGATTCCCCGACGCTATTTGCAGCATTTCGCTTTCCGACTGTTAGCTGAGTTTAAACAAATGTTGATGTTTAGGGCCGCTCAGGAACTTATTTTCTGTACTCTGATACAAATTGAATATATCATGGTTCCTTATTTGACAGTTGATATTGTCGAGCAAAACGATTCCGATCACTTTCCTGCTGAATTCACACATTTTTTTATTTTATTTAAGGGATATCATCCTTCTTTTTGTTGTGCAAAATGGCCAAAATCAAACATTTCTAGCTGTGAATACTTTCTTTTTTAGTCGAAATACTGATTATTTTTGTCTTATAACTAAGAAATAATTAGAAATAACGGAAACAAATGTTACTATTGTCACGGGAGCGGTGAGTTTCAATGCCCCAAGACAAAAAGATACATTTTTTTACCTTTTGTTACACAAGCTCAGTAATAAAAGAAATCAATATTTGCAATGACCTCAAAGAGGTCGAAGAGCCCTAATGTATAAGGCCATCTACTTAATTTGTAACGAACTGAGAAGTGGTATATTTTTTAATTAAGTGAAAATAGTGTAAAGTTGTTCGGTTAGGGCGCCTCAGACGGCAATTTGGCAAATTAGACCATCCACGTGGCAGCACCACCATTAGCTTTTCTGGTTTCTTCCTTTCCACCTAACGAGCCACGTTTGGCGGGGTCAGGTCGGCCATCCACTTGTTGGGCGCAGGACTTGGTCCTGGTCCTGGTCCTGGTGCTGGTCCTCTACAGCCGCTTTCAGTTGTCCTTACACATTTCGCTTAACAATAAAAGTGTTTAAAGCAAATTGAAAACCCCGAGACCGAGCAATGCACTATGGAGCCAACGAACACTTATGTTGTCCATAATTCGCTCAATTTAATAGTTATCAAGATGAAATTTGACCCATCTTTTACTTGTGTGATAGCATAATAATATCAGTAAGTACTTGGGATAGGTGGAATTTCCTTTTGCTGCTAAGCAACACATTTCTATCATATCTGTTGCTTTCACCTTTGAAAATAAGTATTACTATGATCTACCCCTATAAATTCCTATTCCTATTGTTTTCATAGGAACAATCCAATCAGTAGATGCTATGCGAAATAAAACAAGTTTTGATTTAAGCACTCTTTAAAGTGGCCCATAGTGCAATGGCGGCATCAAGTTTGTGGCTTTTCCAAACTGTTTCCCCGGCTTCTGGGTGGGAACAAAAGCTCAGGTTTTCTTTAATAAATCCACAAAGTGTCATAATCATTAACTATATATATATATATATGTATAAGATGTTTAACTACTATTCATTATGTTAAATAAAGTTATTCAAGTTCTTGCTGAGGAATGCCATTTTCCCACTGTGTACAACTGCTGTTGCTACTTTGATGTTGCCAACTTTGTTGCGAAATGTGCAGCAAGTAGGGGGAACGAAAAACAACAAAAAATGCGGCGGAGAAAGTGGCATTGAGGTCCGGGATTGAGTCCGGGAGGCAGTACGTTTCGTTCAGTTCGGTTTCGTCACAAACATTTCGCAACGTCGCTCCGTTTTAATGGCAACCCATGCCCCAACACCCGGAAATTCGCTGTCCTTTTTGTTGCTTAATTGGCGGCCGGCCGAGTGAAGCGTCTGCACTGCCACAAATTGCCGGCCGAGTTGGCTACGTGCTGCCCCGGATCCGTCGGATGCGGATCCCGGCTGGTGGCCAATGGTGATGCTTGGATGATTGCGCCAGTCCGATGGCCAATGTTGCATATACATTTTCGCGCCGTGTTCATCCATCCCCCACGTCCGTGTGCCATTTGCATTCCGCCATTGTCCTGCGCCAAGTCGTTTGGCCGGGTTGAATTCAGTGGGTTGCAGTGGCTGGATTGGGTGGAGGTGCCCACGTGGGCGTGGGCGTGGGCGTCTGCTGGAGTTTCGCTACGTGTGCGCCATATAACTTGGCCGGCGTCATTGTCATCGTAGTTGTCCATTGTGCACCAAGTGCAGTACGTAATCACAACAGCAGCAGCGAAGCACAGTGGTCTTCAGCCAGCAGTGCATGCAATTACCATAAAATGATCAAAATAATATATATACTACATTTTATTGATCATAAATGGAATTAATATGGAATTGTAAATTTCAATTAATAGGAATTATCATATACATATATAGTTGTTATATCGTTATTGCTATGAAAAAACTTGATTACAGCATTTGAGCCACAGTGCAGCGACATCAAGAATGACAGCAGCGAAACAATGTGGCAAATGTGCAGGGCTGGCTTTTGGTGGCGGTGGCGCTGGTTGCCATGTTGATGATGGTGTGGTGCCCACTTTTGCTGGCGCGGCAAGGGGCGCCCACTCACTCCATTCCCAATATCTGGGTCTCTGCAAGTTCCTGGGTGTGGGTACGAGCTGGAGTTCGTGTCCTGGTCCTGGTCCTGGTCCGGCCATTGCAGTTATGTCACATGTCTGACTTAATTCATTCATTTAGACGACGCTGACAATTGTAGGTGTCGGGTGTGCGCCCTATGTCATTTCGTTTTTGTCAACGTCGTCGACGCAGTGCACCAAAGGGCAAGGGGAGTGCTCGGAGAGGGTAATGGGGGACGGACGCCAAAGATACAGAATACAGAATAGTGGGTACCGGAGCCATTGGAGAGCCATTATAGCACCGACATTGTCAATGACTGGCGAATTATTATTGCCTGACGGAGGCAGTTGGGCGCCGCCCCCTCATGTATGTGTGTGATTTTTGTGTGTGTATGGAAGTGTGCTCCATCTTGTTATGACAGTTGGCACCAATTTCCGTACACGTTGCAGGTGGCCCGTGACCCGTGACCCGTGGGCGTTTGATATTTTCAGCGAGTGGGAACCACCAACCATTTGTCAGACGGTCAATCAGAAGTTGGCGACCCTCAGATTTATTGCATTACGCGGCGTTATTTCACAGCTGTTACGTAAATTGATTGCACTTTAATGTTTCGCACACGAAATTGCGTAAAATGTACAGTCTATAATTTAACAGTATATGAACGTGCATATTTATTCCATTGCATTAATTTGCATTTTAGTTCATGATAATGGAATATTTAAGTTCCTTTTTGAATGTCTAACGCTTTTTCAAAATAGCAGTCCTTTGCAGAGTTGCATTGGCCGCCGAGTTGCCAGCTAGCGGAAACGGAGATGCCAGATGAATGTATTTAAGATTCCAATTTGAAATGTTATACGAAAAGTAACCGTCCAGCCTGGAATTCAAAACATGGAGTCTTCAAAAAGTATTTTGCAGTAGCAACCCCTAATTAACCCATAAACAGGTAAAAAGAAATTTGTATATATGTATATATTTCATAAGTATCATACAAAATTTCCGTTTTAAGATTTAGCAACTAAATTGGGTCGAGTTTTTGTTTCGCATTGAAGTGCACAAATTAAAAAAAAAAGATTACTAATTAATTAATTAAGAAATCGACGCAAATAAATAACAAAAAACTAATTCAATATATGCATATGCTAGATATAGTGGAGTTGATTCCATTGCAAAATCGCCGTACTGAGAAATTTGATGTTTAATTTTTGACTTTGTTTTTATTACAGATTAATTTTTTAAGGTTTGCTTAGCGACTACATTTTGTTTTGCGTATTAAAATTGCTTGCTTGAGTGTGTGTGTGTGTGCGTGTGTCTGTGTGTGTCTGTGTGTGTGTGTGTGGGTATGCGTGCCTATGTGGGCGTGTGTGGAGTCTTGTGTGTGTGACTGTGTGTGTATCCTTGTATTATCGTTCATATCAATATGTATATAAATATATAAATAAATTTATAGGAATATGTGTTGATTTATTTTTATATTTTTTATATTTTTTCATGCTCTTATTTCCCTTTTACTTTTACTTTTTTCATTTTCTTTTTTCTTCCGTGAAGCTTTACGAATCGAATATGTATATATAGGTGTATATATGATGTGCTTGCTTGTATAACCATTACGTCTTTCTTCATTTTTGCTGGCCTAGTTGCTGATATATTTGATAAAACGGAAGGACTCGCGACAGAAGTTTTGTTTTGTTGTCTACGCTAAAAGATTTCTTGTTCTTGTTTGTAGATGTTCTCATCGTATAAAACGTATAAAAAGCTAAATAGGTTGTTTAAAAAAAATCTCTCTCTATGTATACGTAGATCTTTATATATAAATATATAAGTTTGTTTCCTCATTTTCAATTCACTCGGGTCTCCTTGGATCTATTAACGTTTCTTTCCTTTTATTTCCTCGTTCATGTTGCAATTGTTTAGGATCTCAAATTCTTGTGCGACTCTTCTCGGCGCTTCACCTGCGCGGATCGATAATTAGAGTATCCCCGCTTGGTTGGGAAGTGTGTGTGTGATTGTGATTGTGATACTGATGATGAGTGCAGCAACCCATTCGGGAAGGTCGTGGTCACGCCCTAGAACTCCCACTGTGTGGCCGAATCGGTGCCGTCATCCAGCAGCTTGAACGCCCCGTTCTTCGTAGCGCCCAGGTACTTGCCCTGCTGCGATCTAAAAGAGAAAATGTAGTATTAGCATTGTTGGCATTGGTGAGAACTCATCATTTAAAACTGGATGCAATGTGATCCAACCTTATGCAGATCCTGGTCGGCTCACGAAGCTCCAGGAAGAATCCATCGCTGGGCGCATCGGCGTCCACCGAGATGCTTTCGCCCTCGATGCGCCAGTACTTGCCGCTGTGCGCCTTTAGATGCACCAGGCCCTTCTGGGCCCGCTCCACCAGGATGGTCTCGTAGGTGGCCTTATTGCACTCGAGCTTCAGGTTGCCGGGCGTGCGATAGCCCACGAATCCCTGCTCGCACTTCAGTACAAGAATTGGTCTGTTTATATTAAAAGCATTATTAGCAATACAATTAGAAACGAAAAATGCGGAATGGTGTGAGCAACTTCATTACCTATTGATCAAATAGAAGTAGAACTTGGCTATCTCCTCGATCGACTCCGAGGTGGCGAACAGATGCCCAGAGCGCTTGGTGGCCAAGAACTTGCCGTTGTTAGCCCGGAACGAGAGCGAGCCATCGCCGTGCCAGATAAGCTCGAATAGAGCGTCGGCACAGCGCCGATTTCCGGTGGCCTGGATGCCACCGCCCGCCGACAGACACCAGTAGCGATCCTGGGTGGTTCGGAGGGCCCAACGGTGCGCCGACCAGTCGTACTCCAGCTGGAACGTCTCGTTCTCGCCCACCTCATCCTGGTTAGCCGTCACATCGACGCCCTGCTTAACGCTCACGTATCGCAAATTGAGTCCGGCTATAAAGGAAGCCTGGGGCAGCGAATCCTCCAGCGAGAAGAGCTCATCCCGCGTCACTGACGACGAGCGGGACTTCAGCACCGCCTTGGAGCCAATGGGCGATAAGTACTGACCCTGACGATCGCGCAGCGCCAGATGGCCACCATGATATTCGGCACTGAACAGGCAATCCTCGTTGCAAACCACCTGCAGTTTCCCATTGGCGTTCAGATATCTGTGGGGAGAGTTTAGGGAAAAGGTTACATTCATTTTATGCTCAACGAACAGAAAAGATGGCACTCACTTGTTATTGCACGTGTGCAGAGCATAGCGACCGCCCTCCTCGGCACGGAACTCCAGCGTAAAGAGCGTATCCTCGCCCCAGGGAATGTTGGCGTCCACATGGATCTCGTCCTGCGACTCCGACAGATGGGCGAACCGCTTGCGTCCGATGGAGCGGAGATTCACCTGCGGCCGGGCAGCCAAATGGACCGTCCAGAACTCACTGGCGCCGGGCGTCTTGGCCGTGCAGACCAATTTGTCCGGAGTGCCGCCCAGAAAGTAGCCGCGCGACTCGTTCTTCAGCGCCCAACGGCCGCTGCCGTCCTCACTGATGCTGATCTGGAAGCGGCTGCCCGCGTCCCGCTCCTCGCTCTCGCACAGCACGTTGCCAAACTGATCGACCGAAAGGTACTTGTTCAGATGAGATCGTAAGTAGATAATACCTGCAACACGTATGGCGACGAAATTGGATGAGTGAGAGGATTCATTGGCGAGATATTTACAATGAAAGCGCTTTCCGATCAATTCCCACATTCTTTTCCTCAGAAGCTATTGCAGCTACTGAAGAATGCTTTGTACAAAACATTAAATTCATGCTAGAGAAATACCCCCTGCCAGTTGGGACAAATTTAAAAATCGATTTGGCTCGCGCTCCGTCGTCGATGGCATTTGAAATATCGATATCCCGGCCGTTTCGATTTGGCTCGCTTTCCAAACATTTTGAATGCTATCCTCTATTAAGCCATTTAGCCATTAGCCAACAGCCATTTAGCCAGTGTGCTCAATCCGTATCCACCATCAGCAGTAATATACAGTTGGGAGCTGCACTCCAGTCCAGGAGCAGCAAGGCCGAGCGAGCTGGCTGGCGGAGCAAGAAATTTTCAATTTGGATGAGCTATTTTAATGGCCACAACGAATGTCGGCTGACTTATGGCTTTGGTATTATAGAAAATGTTTATTAATTGCCAGTGGCAATGACCAGAGTGGCGGCGGCTGAATAAAAACCAGTTGCAGTTGCTGGCCAGCTTTAATTATAATTGCTGGCCACGGATACAACTGACTGCAGTGCCAATGCCAATGCCAATGCCAAGCGCAAGTCCGACTCCAAAGCAAATGCCAAAGCCAAAGCCAAAGCCAAAGCCAAAGCCAAAGCCAAGCCAACTCCAAATCCAATTCCAATTGCAATCCAGCCGCCAGGTTGATAAATGATGCCAAATTCGTGAGGCGCTTTGTTTTCTACTCTCGAGCACGTCAAATTAGTGCAACTGGAATTATCCTCCTCTACGCCACAGACCCCAAATGATTTATGTTGTAAACAATAAAACAAGCAAAAAAAATAAGACTCCATTAATTGGCCAAGATGATGGTGATTACGGCTGGCAAATGGCTTCGACTGCACCACTTAAGCGCCCAGGAGTTGGGGTAACTGGTTCGGAA